GTATCAGTCCCCTGCCTTCGGCCCTGGGCTTTTTTTTTAAACTATGATTTGATCTGTTTTTTTTCTTGTCTTGCGTTATGTTTTTCATGTAACTTTGGCTTTTTACAATACTAAGTGCTCGTGCCCGAGGTGGCGGGATTAATCCGATGGACTCTGCAGCACCGAGAACTCTTTCTGTAGGTTAGACCTGCGATCAGCTCCTCTCTACTTTGCTCGTCACCCATTGGCTGCCTTCATATTTGTCTCGCCCTGATTGGTCAGACCAAGATATTAAAGAGACCAGGCAGTCCTCAGGTTTCTATTTATTTTGAATATTTATTTATTTATTTCAGTGGATGATTTTAATGTGCTTTTCCTTTTTTGTTTCTTTTTTTTTGTTTTCCTATTATACGACTCGTGCACTTGTGCAGGTACCGTCTGTTGTTGAAAGGGAGGCTTCTCTCCTGTTTTTAAAGGGATAGTACAACCACTTTGCATCCTGCATGTGTTTCGCTGAAACGACCAACACGGTGGGAAATAGTTTGCTTTTTTTTCGTGTGCTACTTTAGATTGGCTGTGTGGAACATCCGTCACTTTAAATCTCATAATTCAGGATTATATTTAAGTGATCTGACGTTTCAAAAGTTTCATCCTCAAGATTGAATTTTTAAGGTGATGAAGCTTTTGTCAAATGAGCGCTAAGACGTTGTGTTGTACTCGTGTCTCATCCAGTAACAGTGTTAATGCCTGGTTGACCCTCTTCAGGCACTAAAAGGTCGAAGGCTCCCTCCGAAAAAAGAGATGGCAGCATGTACGGTCCAAAGGTGTTGTTCTTCTTGTGTGTTTCAAGCCTTCAGAGTATTAAAATAAGATTCACATGTTTAAAATGAGGGAGGACACAGTATCACACACCTGCAGATAACTGGCTGCTTAGCTGCATTTACTTTGCATGACAGTCACCTGGACACTTTGTTTATTAGTGTTTTTATTTTAACTTGGTTCCTCATTTTCTCTTGAATGCTGTTAAACTCTGTCTATTCTCTCAGCGTATGAAGACTTTTATCTCTAGATGATACAGAGGAGATGATGATGTTGATGATGTGGCACTATAGGAGGATGTTGACAGTGACGATGACGATGAAGATGCTCTCCTCTGGGGCCCCGTGTTGTCGGTGCAGAACGTGGCCCTCGCGTAGCTCAGAGAACACGAGGAGCACCAGGACTGAGTGGAGCTTCACTGAGAGGCAGCAGAGAGAGAAGGAGCTCCAGCAGGGGGCGCAGTCACACAACGTGAGGCACAGACACACACAGACGGCCCAGTGATGCTTCTCATGCAGCCGCACAACCAGTTGACTTTTGCACTGACAACACTGAGTTGACTTCTCTGCTCTTTCACGCTTTCTCCCGTTGCCTCGTTTCTGACTTTATTCCATCGTTTCTCTGCAGTCGCCTCTTTCTACTTCACCGTTGTCCCTTTGTGTCCCTCTGGGTTTCTTCTGTATAATAATATTAATCCTCTAGTTCTCTGATTCTTTGGATTAGTGCTCTGTTCTCTTACGTGCTACACGTGTTTCTATGACTTCAAGAAAATGTGACGGTGTCATCAATAAAATGATCATTTAAACAGAAAAGTGAGTCAGCTTTGTATTTTTATTGATAGAAGTCGTTCATGTTTTTGACCAAAATATTTGCTGAGCAGGTTGATCTCATGCAATTTAATGAACACATCCGTGACAATATCACCTTTTAAAGGGGACACATCCACTTTTTTAATGCTTCTACACCTTAATTTGGGCACACATATGGCAAATAACAATTCAATTACTACATCAGCATCATCAGTATTTGATTCATTCTGAGCAGGAACATTTTGTTATTTTATTTGGAGGAATTATTTATAAATCTGAAACTGGAATAAAGTCCTTCTAGTTAAAGACTGATGATCTTTTCTTCATCAGGAATAGACACTAATATGTAGCTGCAGCTCACCAGTGTTGGTGCACAGTGTCCTTCACCTCTTGTACGTACTTCTACATCTCATCAACCAACACAAACCCAGAATTAAACAATGAGAGGAACACAGGATGAGGAATGGGAACAGAAAGGTGTGAATGAGAATAAAGTATTTTATTTAAGTAGAACTCTGCAAACACAACATCTGAATGTAATTAAAGATACTTCAGGATTACACAAAAAATAAGCAGTGATTAATAATTCTATTTCCATATTTAGTTTCAGAGATAGATGATTAATAAATAAATGAAGAAGATAGATAAAGTAGGATGAGGCTTCATGTGGTCAGGTAATTTAAAACTAAAAGGCTTTTAAAGGCAAACTTAAAACTTAAATACTATTTAGAACATCATCCCTCTCATTTTCAGCTTCTCATTCTTTAATTTGAAAATATTTACAGAAATTAGCAACAAAAAAACTATAATAAACATCAAACAAGAACAGAATCACTTTGACTTCACCACCTTCACTGAACATCACAGAGAAACATCAGTTTGACAGATTTTGATATCAGCAGTTTTAGCGTCACCAGACTTTCCAACACTAAAATATGGGAAGAGTTTCTCAGTGAAAGTGTCTCTGTGAGTGCAGATGGGAGTCGTGTCTTCAGGGTCGTAGAAGGACACGTCCCCCCTGTCATAGCCCAGCTGGACTCTGATCCTCTGGAGACTCTTCCTCACTCTGACAGTCTGACCAGCTCCATTAGTGTATGTTCCACTGTGATGAACTAAACACCAAACTCCATGTTTTGGTGAAGGATATATCTCTCCCTTCCTGTCAACTGACTCTTTAACGAAACCTAAATTCCAGTGAGGATGGTCTCCCACCTCCACCTCCCAGCTGTGTTTCCCTGAGCTGAAGCCCTCAGAGCCCAGAACATCTGCATACCAGCTGAATCTCTTTGGATTATCAGGAAGCTGCTGGTTTGTGTCTCCACGTCTCACACTGGTCAGATCATCAGACAGATAGAGATCATTGGCTGCAGTGTTTGGGTCCAGAATGACAGGACTGAAGTGGACCAGGTCCTTCATCTTCTCCCAGACTCTGAAGGACAGGTTGCCCAGGTGTTTGGCCACATCTATCAGCGCTCCTGAGACCAGCTGTGGATCTGTCAGTGAGCTCTGGACTCTGGCTCTGGTCTGAGTGGCTTTATAACTGCTGAGGAACGACACCTTGTCTTTCTGCAGGTCTTCTTCAACAGCAGAGATGCTGTCTGACAGAGAGGAGATCTGCTCCTCAATCATCTTCATCTCTCTGCTGATGGTCTTCCCCTTCTGCTCCTCTTCCTCC